AGCAGGAATCCAAATTCTTTGTTTCAACTTCCACACGCCACACTGGTGTCCTTGTCCCTTTCTCCTTTTCTTCCCTGTTCTCTGCTGTTTCCCTCCTACCAACTGTTAACTTAGGTCAGAGTCAGGACTGCGGGGCAATGTAGTCCTTGAGTAATTCCCTTACAGAATGTAGGATCTGGGGAAATCTCTAAACCAGAGGCGTCAAACTTATGTGTTACAAGGGCTAGATCTGATACAAATGTCACTGTCAGGCCAGCTATGTGTCAGGCCAGGTACCAGAGATATTTTACCACCAACTGTGACCGATACTTCTTCTCAGCAGAGCTCGGGGCCAAACCAGCCCTCCTCACCACTTATGGTTTCCAACTCTGGGTTAGGCAATCTGGGTGAAGACCTTGGGGAGGGCCTGCATTTGGGGAAGGGAGGGATCTCAGCAGGGGGTATAATACCCTAATATAGGCCCTTCCAGTCCACATTTGGATTGGTCCCCCCCTGTTGTTCGTGGGCCATATAAGAGCCCTGGATGGGCCGCTTCTAGCCCCTGGGCCATATGTTCGACATGTCTGCTCAAAACAGCTAGATTCCAGTGGCATCTTCACAGGGAACGTTTGACTCTCAAAAGCTCATACCCTGAACCTCTTGATGGTCTCCAGGGTGCTACTGGGTTTAAATCCAGCTGTTCTACTGCAGACCAGCATGGCTACCCTCTGCAACTATAGCAATGAAGCTCTCTACATCCTTTCTCGAATACAGCATTGTCCCAGATGTCTTCTTTCTGCATCCATTTACCCCCTCACCCTTTTGCTATTCTTGCTTTCCCTGCTGCTCCTATGTAGCTCACTCCATTGTCATCTTGTCTCTGATGCTGACTGCCTTCTATTGCTGTCCTTAAAATTTCCCACACACTGTTTTTTTTTTAAAAAAAATCCTTACGTTGGGGGCTCCTTAGAACAGTGCTCTCTCCTTGCAGACTGGCAAGATGGAGATGTCAGAGGTAACCATTGCATTACCCTTTTCCTGCTTAGATTTTCCCCAACCCAGTTAGCTTTCCCTGTCTGTTTGGAAAACTTAAAATGAGAGATGGTATTGGGACAGAGGAAGGTACTACAAACCACCAAGAATATACATCACCTTAGTGATTTAGTGGAACATTACTAATATGTTAGAAATTCAGTTTTATCGCCGCATATGTGGTGGGAATGTATACGAGCTTCTCACTATTGGAAATCAGTGGTGAAAGCTATCTCAATAGTGTTAGAAGTACAAATCCCCCATAAACCAGTGACTTTATTGTTGAATTACTTACCTTAAACTTCTAAAGATCAACAAATGGTTGTTCTACATATGATTACTGCTGCCAGGCTGGTTTTCGCCAGGCTGGTTTTTGCCAGGCAATGGAAACAAAAAAACCTCTCCAAATTACAAGATTGGTTGGAAAAGATAAATGAGATATATACTTTAGTTTAGTATATGTGCTGCCAAAGCAAGCATGATATACTTTAGTTAAACTAACTGCTTACTGGAATAATAGAGATATATGTAGAATAGATCTTCTATGGTCAAGAGCGATACAAAGAATGGTGATGATAATGGTATAAGTAAGATAGTAGTCATATTGACAGTTGCTAATGAAAGGTTCTCTATGATTAGGGAGGAATGCTGAAATGGGGTTTAGGTGGTTAGATTCAGATAGGCATATTTTTAGATGCATTCTATATTTTCTGTATATTCATATACATTTTGTATTTTATGAATTATTTTTAAAAAGAAATTCAATTTTATCAGGCCCTTGGAAAGGGAGTGCCTGGGCCAGGCAGAGAAGTACTGTTGTGCATCTGATTTAGCTGAAGGTAGCTTTTCATTTGGGAACATGGCACTGATGAGAGCAGTCTGGTGCTGAACTTATTAACACATTTAGATGGGTAACTGAGCTCAGAGGTTTATGTATCAAAAATCCAGAGAGAGACAAAATAGGTAATTGTAGGAGATGCCCAAAGACTATTCAGTGTAAGTTTTAGAAAACATCAACTCTTTCTAAGGCCGTAAAGAGAGAATCTGGTTAGGATAAGAGTCAGTTGAGGCAGAAAATAATGTTAGCAGTATCAGAACCAACCATAGCACTTTTAAGGCATGGTATCGTAAGCAAAAATTCATTCACATTTGCCCAAGTGATTGCATAATTACATTAACCCCCAGTCATGTTATTTCATATGTATTGTAGGTTAACTGATAGTATGAACAAAAACTCATTTTCTTAGGAGGTCAAAAGCCTTGTGTTCATTAAACATCTCAGTGTACTCTGAGGTGCAGAATAAGGGTGTTAAGTCATGTATCTTGGCCAAATTCCAGTTGGATAATTACTGCTAATCTGCCTGCCTAAATTCCCCATCCAGTTTTAATTGGATGTAGTCTTCTTCACTAGCTGCTGAAACTGTCATGTAGCATTTTAACGTGTGATTAATCATCTGTTACGTGTCACCCCAGAGATGGCTGCATATCTGTGAAGGAGGAAATGCCCATTTTTATTATGTAAAGTTGATATGATCATAGGATGGGAGGTGACTGTGAAAGCTGCCTAGTTCCGTCCTCCTTTGGCAATATGTTAGAATGTTTCATACATGAACTGTCTTGCAAATGAACTACATAATCCATGCTACTGAGGGCCATCAGCAGTGTTGAGGCAAACAAAGCACACCTTTGCAGGTGGTTCTTCAAACAAAAAAAGAAAATGGTCTAAGTGCAGTTTAAAAACTGAATCGGATATTATAGGAAAGGACAACAAATTGAGCAAAGTTAAGAAATGTGTCTCTTGGAGAATGTTCCCCTAAAGGATATATTTAGACACAAATTCTACTGTTGTACCAATTGTTACCCAATAAAATTAGTGCTTCTGAAGTGTTCCAAGTTTCTGAAAGAATGTTGCCCAGATGACAGGGAACCTGAGATTTACACCGTGGTCTCCTGGTCTGAGATATTGCTTAAACTATGTCTGTGCATACTCATCTCCTAAGGCAAAAAGGGAAACAGAAGTGTGCAACATTGGCCTCTGTTATTAGCAAGTGGGAAGGAACCTCTGGATTGGTCAGATGTTGTGTGTATGCTATGTGGTATGTGTGCCTGTTCACCGACATGCCCAGTTCCCAGTTGTGCAGAATTTCTGCCTGCTGTTCTCTCAGTTTCTTGGCCTGACTGCCCCAGACCAGACCAGCCTTGACAATTCAAGGCAGGTGCTGAATAAGTGGGCTGCCGGTGAATGTTACAGACCTGCAAAAAGCAAGACCTCTTTGTTTTAAATTTGATTTAGAAACAGCAGCCAATTTTTCACTCCGAGGAAAGGTTCCCTTTTGAACCGTTCAAAATAATAATGCTAGACCAAAAGCTTATGAGCCGAAAATAGGTCAGGCAGTTGGGTCAATCTTTTGAATAAGTAGATTTCTGACTGCACTGCACCCCCCGCTGCTGCTAAAAGCGTGGCTTCTTCAGGGGCCGTGTCACTCTCAGCCGACTCCTCTGTGACTGCAGGAGCAGCTACAGATGGGTCCACAGGTGTTAATGCTGCTTCTGGAAGCATTAACACCTGATCAGGTGTCTGCCTCCAAATCTGCACCTGATGGCAGGGAGAGCACTGCCGAGAGCAGCTGCTCCCCCTGCTGCCAGACCCCTTGATTTGGGAATAAAGCTACAATAGGCAATGTCTCCTTTGCAACAGAGGAGTTTCCTCAGGTACCCAAGCAGGCTGAAAACCTAACAGCTGCCAAACTAGGCATTTAATTGTATCATCGTGCTAGGCATGAATATGATTGGTCCTTTCATTCTTTTGTTGAATCAGTTCCTTGGTGAAGATGAATAATTACACTTTGCCTATAAAGATGAAGGAACACTTTCCGTTCTTAAATGTACTGTAGCATATTTTACTAGGAAAATGCACTTGTCTAGAAGCATCTTAACACACTTTTTGTTGTTACATCCAGGTGACAAGCATGGTAAGTATTTTCAGTAAAGCAAGCCTTATGTATTTTATCTGTGCTTGGCAGTTGTTGTTTTTTTTCCCCTTATTAGCTAGCTTTAACTGTACTGCTAGCCTGTGCTTTTTCTAAAGGAGCTGTTCAAAAGAAGATGCTGCTCACCATCTCATTACTTTGTATGGGCTTTTTAGGGAATATGTGTGTGACTTGGTATACCCTATACTAGGATGGCATGCATTCCTGGCCAGCATGCTCGCAACTATGCTTGTAACAATGAATCTGCCTCTTGGTGCTTGCGTTCCTTCATCATTTAGTCATATACCGAAATGTTCACATTTTCTAAAGCAACAATTTTCAAAGCAAAGAGACCTTCAGTGAAAAATATTAAACAAACTGTCCACTTTAGCCACCTTAAAACTGCCAGATTCACTTACAGTTAGAGAATACAAGCAGGGACCTGTGAGACTCATGGAGGGGCGGAGCACTGAGCTGCCCACTTGCTGGCTCCCACTCACCTCCTTGCCAGCCAGTCTACATACGTTCCTGCTGCTCAGGGGTCGTTTCGTAGAAAAAGAGCTAGGGGAACTCATTAGCATATTAGCATATGCCACACACCCCTGACATCACCGGAAGTGTGTCATAAGGCCACACCCCCTGACATCACTGGAAGTGTGTCATAAGGCCACATACCCCGCCCCAAACGGTCCCGGTGGCCTTGCAGCTCCACTGCCGAGCCCCATGAGGAGCCCGGCAGTGGACCTGCAAGGCCGGCGGGAGTGCGAGGAAGCCCCGCGAAGGCCCTCCCTGGCCCCAGGCAGGCAGGGGTGGGGAGAGGCAGGGAGGAAGCAACTTACCCTCGCTCTTCTCCTGCCTCCTCCTGGCTGAATGAGGGCCGGAAGCGGGGCGGCCGGAAGCAGGGGGCGGGGCTTCGTCATGTGCCCCGCCCCCCGTACCTCACCCGGGGGAACTGCGATCCCCCCCCGAAATGACCTTTCCTGCTGCTTCATGTGGAGGGGGGCAGAATTGCAGCACTGGCTCCTTCCTCTTCTGCCCACCTGCATTGTTGCCCCCTACAGCTCACTTACCCTTCTGTATTGCTGCCATTTCCTCAGCTAACGTGGCAGCAGCTGCTCCATGGTTCCAGGTCTCTGCAGTTCATGGAGGGGATGATGGTGGCAGCTCCTTCCTTCCCTACGTGCCTGCATTGCTGCTGTTCCACAGTCCACAGTGGGAGGGTGGCTCTTGCTCCTCTGTTGCTCACACGCCCACTTCCATCGTTGTTACCTCTGTGGCTCCCACAGCAGCAGCAGTTCCTGCTCTCTCCCCCCCCTCCTCTGGCCACTAGGCAGACATGGATGAAGCTGAGGAATGGAGGGGCATTGTGCACATGAGCATAGACAATGCTTCTCCATTCGGGGGATTTGTTAAAAGTTTTCAGATTTTGTGCAAACCTGTTGAGGGGGAGGTCCCCCAAGTTTGCAGGGAAATCTGTTCTCTATCTCCATAGCCCCTATCTGCAGATGTAAGTATCTGCATATGTTGAGAATTAGATATATTGCATATCTCAGGGGAAGGCCCTGAAGAGTGTGTTTATCTATCTGCCTATCTGTGTCTTTTCCCCCAATGAAGATCCAGAGTGGATTACAACATCTTTCTCCCCCCCCCTTTCCCTTTTTGTTTTCACAACAAGCCTGTGAGGGTAGGTTGAGAGAGTAATTGGCCCAAGGTCACCCAGCAAGCATTCATGTCATAGTAGGATTGAAATCTGGTTCTCCCAGATCTGAATCTGACACTGTAGTTACTACATAATGCTCACTCTGTAAAAATCTACAAATGACCAATATCTTCCTGGCAAACTGTACTGAGCCCAGTATTGATTACTTATTAACCCACCCATCCATCATTTCCCCTTGTGTGATTCCACATGGCTGGTGGTTACATATGAATAATGCAACCACATGAGTAGTGTCAGTCACTTAGGTCTTTAATATGAAAACTTCCCTACCCATTGGTTGTGTTAGTTACACTCAGCCACCAAGGGTTTTACATGTAGGCTTTATACACATGGACAGACATGTAGGCAAGAATGTACGGGGCATGTCATGGGGAAGGGGCTGTCTTGACCCCCACTCTGTGTAGGATATCAACATCTGCACAGGATTGTCTGTACTTCTATTGTATTTGTTTCTGCTTTCCAGTTTTAAAAGGTGTGTTACACTCCTGAGCCTATGGGACATATTTAAAACTAGAAACAATTTCTGCCACTTGGGGGACAGAATTCGTGCTATAATCTTAGTCTGGGGCTGAGCCAGTGACCTATCCTAGATTGTATGCACCCATGCCCCAGAGCCTTCAGGTCCAGAAGTAAATAAAGGTGCTTAGTATGGCTTCCTCTGGTTGGCAGGCAATAGGAATTGTTTAGAAGGCCCTGGCCTGGCATTAAGAGCTTTGTCTTACAGTGCCTGCTATGCTTGAATCTCCAGCTCATGTCTCCAGTGCCTGCTGATGACTCCATGGAATCTGAGCTGGAGAATGTAATTTTCAGGTCTGGACTGCCCCTTGGTACTAGCCCATGTTCAGTTGCCCATGGTACTAGCATCTCCCTGTCATCATTGATAGCTGGGGTGGGGGAGCATAGAGTCACCATCTACCATAAAGCATAGTCCACTTTTAAACTTGATCTGGAGTAAGATCTCATGAATAAAGCATTTACCAGTGGGTGAAGCAGCTTCTTCCAGTGTTTCTGCCATTTCATGGTGTCAGTAAATCAAGAAATAACCACGTCACGGAGTCTGTACCAATATTCCGTACAAACAATAAAGAGATTTAAGAAACCAAGTTATGTATATTATAAATAAGATTTAAAAATTATCTAACACACTAGAAACAGAAGTACAATCAAAAAGGGGAAAACACATAATATATATTGATCCAGCCAGGAATAATAGATTTCAATAGGAAGGGGTTTTTTTTAACAGCATACACTTGAACAAAAAACCTTGCTAAAGAATTACCATGAGGAAACAGTCCTTCTTTTGAGTAGCAAAGATTTTCTAACGATGGTCTCCGATACCAGCCGCAGTCTCGCTTATTGCATGGTGTCAAGCACTTTCAAATTCTGTCTCTCTGGAGAGTTAAGCACATATTTAAATCATTCTGTTTCAGGTGACCAGGATTTAAAAGTGCTTAACTTTGGCTGGATTGTGCCTTCTGCATTCTGGTTCAGTTTTTTTAAAAAAACTTTAATAACACCTGGCACCGGCATGTGAGACGCACTCTGCAGTGCACCGAAAAGCTGTTTTTCGTCCCTTCTTCCGCCAGGCTGTGTATTTTCACAGGCTGCTAGGATGAATTGCAGCCTTTAAGACAGAAGATCATCCACCTTTCCATGCCCTTGATGGGTACTGAATAAGGAGGCCAGGCAAAATCCAAAATGTACAAACATCCTCCCAGATATTGCTTTCCTATTTATATATTACAATTTGGTTGGGACCAAGATTTTTAAAAATGTCTTTATTCTGAAACATTTTTATTGGAATCTTTATTCTAACAGTTTTGTTGTTGCAGTCTTCTAGTCTGGGCTCAACAAAAGCTTAGGCTCTGTTCTAGGTTGAGGTGGGAGAAAGTTCAAGCTGGGTTTGACTCCCTGCTTCTTTGTAACAGAATTGTATTCAAAGTTAATGAGACTTACAATAGCAATAAGGAGAGAACTTTGCCCTGAGGTAGTCTGAATCATTTTAGCACTATGCTGCATTTTTTTTCCTGCATGCTTTTATTTTCTCATGTTTCCTGTGCCTCTTTTAATTTAAGCATATGTGCTTTCTAGCTGTGTTTGCTCAAGTGTGATTTGTTGTGCCCGGTGCATTAATGATTGCGTATAATTGTCATGTTAAAGGATCAGACTGCAAAGGACAAAGCGCTCCAGCACATGGCAGCCATGTCATCCGCTCAAATAGTATCTGCAACAGCGATTCACAATAAGTTGGGCCTGCCAGGAATTCCCCGTCCTACATTTCCTGGAGCACCTGGAGTAAGTTAATTGGCTGCAATAGAAAATACATTTTAGAACAATGATTTGTAGGAAATGAAGTCCGCATCAATTAATTTCTGCATAAAATGTACTTCCCTCTGTCTTTACAAAAAAAGGAATTTGGTGGGAAAAAATTGAATAACTGTGCTCATAAAAATGACCATTAAATTGCTGTATTTGTCATTTTCCCTTTATCTAGTTTTGGCCAGGAATGATACAAACAGGGCAGCCGGGATCTTCACAAGAGTAAGTTTAGAAAATAAGGCCATACTTCTCTGCTTGTATGTGCATGTGTTATAAATATAGGGTTGCCAAACCCCCCGGTTTGCCAGGGGTTTCCAGATGGCCGGCGGGGGAAGCCCCACCCCCAACACCCACAGCCACCCATCTCTCTCCCTTCAAGTGTGTGGAACCCGTGTTTCCTCCCAAGCCTGATTTCCGCAAGCTTGCAGGGAAATGCCAGCTTCGCGCTCTTAAAAGGGAAACGCGGCTGCTCTTAAAGGGGAAACACCGGCTCCTGCATTTAAAAGGGAAACGCTGGCTCCTTTAAGTGCAGGGAACTGCCGTTTCTGGAGATCTGGCGCACGGGCGGGGGGGGGCGGACGTCCCCAACGTGACGTCATCACATCAGGGATGCCCTGCCCCCTCCAGGAACGCCCCCAAAGTCCCCCACTGGGGGTGGAAGATGAACTTGGCAACCCTATATAAATAAAGCATTTGTTTAACTGCATATATATTCAAACTTATATGTACCTATAGAAAATAATTAAGTGTCTTGAACCAGGGGCAAGTGATTAGCACTGTCTAAAAAAAACAAATTAAGCTTTCCTGTAACAGAAATGGGTTAGTGCAGTTAACCATCTAGAGAGGGGTATTTCAAAAATTTTCACATTACTTTCATTTTGGGACTTCAGGGATGGCATGCCTTATGATATCCCGAATGTTCAAGAGTGTTGTTACCATTTCAGGGTTCTGATTTTTTTTTTTTTATTCTGACCATTTTTGTCACCACCTCCACCCTGAGGTAGCAGGAGGGCGGGAAGTCAGAGGGAGTGGCATGCCCAGCAAACAACTCTTTGGCAGTGTACATTAGTTTTAAATTTTAAAGAGCTGTTATTTTTGGCCCTGTAGAAAACAACAGACCTCTAAAATTCATTTAAAGAGTGCATGCATCACCAAACAGCTGGCAGACAATAATGAGCGCTAGAGCTGGTTTCCAGGGGCCACTACCTGCAGAGTGAGGAACCCACAATACTATGATTCAAAATAAGACCCCTTTAAAGTCTAAAGGGACATCATTTTGAATGGGAGGTAAACCTGGGCCATTTCCATGCAGGTCATCTGGCCCTGGTTCAACACTGTTGGAGAGTGTGTTTCCCCCCTGCTTCCCTACAACATCATAGTGTATTTGTGTACCTCCCATGGTTTCGCCAGCTTTTCTTTGGTCTTTCTCAAACCTGCTTTCCTGCAAAGTTTTTGGAAACGACAGTAAAGCCTGGGTGGCTGCCAAGTGGGTAGGAAAGTTTGGGTTATCCCACCCACATGACAGCCATTTTCCCTGACACTGTCTCTTGGCAACCATTTCCTCCCACTTCAACCAGAGGGCTTTTTAAAAAAATAATAATCTGCAATTAAATATCATTTATTGATATAATCTTGTAACAGTACATGTGAATTACTGCAGGTCCTTTGACTTCCCAGCTTTCTTTATTCCCCCAAGAAGAAATCTGAAG